CACAGAAAACTGTGTGCTTTGTTTTTCTGCTAATGGCAGAACTCTCCACCTTCTGAGATCCAAAATTAATATACTCAATGTACTCTAGGATTAATAGCTGTAGTTTAAAAAAGCCACTCAATGAAGACTCAGGCCAAATTGCCTCTGTGTTTAGTGTAGGAAATCAGCAAATTATAATTTCCTGTCATTTAAATTAAGGAAGTTGTGCAGTTGATCCTGGGAAAGTTAGAAATGTGCTGAGATAAGAAATATCCACTTCCAATCACAGAATTACAGAATCAATGAGGTTGGAAAAGACCTCTGAGAACACGTCCAACCTTTGACTGAACACCGCTCTTTCAACCAGACCACAGCACTAAGTGCCACGTGCAGTCATTTCTTGCACACCTCCAGGGATGGTTATTCCACCAACTCCCTGGAGAGCCCATTCCAATGTCTAATCACCCTTTCTGTGAAGAAATTCTTCCTAATGTCCAACCTGAACCTCCCCTGCTGCATCTTGAGGCTTATGTCCTCTCATCCTGTCACTGGTTGCTCGGAAGAAGAGACCAACCCCCACCTGACTACAAGCTCCTTTCAGGTAGTTGTAGAGAGTGAGGAGGTCACCCCTGAGCCTCCTCTTCTCCAGGCTAAACAATTCCAGCTCCCTCAGCCTCTCCTCATAGGACTTGTGCTCCAGATCCTTCACCAGCTCCATTGCCCTTCTCTGGACATGCTTCAGCACCTTGTCTTTCTTGTAGTGAGGGCCCAAAACTGAACACAGGACTCGAGGTGCAGCCTCACCAGTGCCAAGTACAGGGGGACAGTAATTTCCCCGGTTCTGCTGGCCACACTGTTCCTGATACAAACCAGGATGCCATTAGCCTTCTTGGCCACCTGGGCACACTGCTGGCTCATGTTCAGCTTCCTGTCACCCAGCTGTTACTATATGAACAACCAAACATTTAATCTTGCTTCTAAGAGCCCAGTCTGAAAACAGTTTTTCCAAACTCAGCTTTCACATATCCTGAGACCTCTGTTGCCATCTTAACTGGAAATTTATGGATCAACTGTTTGCTGTTACAGCCACATCCTGCAGGGAACGGGAAAGTGAAGAAATACCTTTTGAAAATGTGGAAGGTTAAGTAGAAGTGCCAGGAGAAGGAATTCCCAGTTACTGTACACTGCGATATATTCTGAGGTGTTGGAATTGCATGCCATTCTTAGTCAGTTCAGATTGATCCTGAGATCTGGCTGCACCAGAAATCCATGGTTATCATTCATGGAAAGAGAGGTCTTTGTTTTCACTCTTGCATTCTGTTAGCCACCATGAAACATTCCATCATTACCAAAATGGTGAAAGCTATTTCTCCATCTGTGCCTGTAAGCCATGAAAGCACTAGCTTTTCATATAAATAAACCCAAGTTCTTTAATACTTTGAAGATCCAGCAGATTCATAAAGTTTTCTGCTTTTACTAATGCTACTACTCCAAAGAGTTGGATTCCAGGTTTATCCCATAGTGCCTTTATCAGTAGAAGAGTAACTTCTGACCAGATGGTCTTAAATTTGTGCTCCTAAATTTTACAAAACTTGCACTGTCAGGAAAAAGATCTGTCACTTGTCCGTTTTACACAGGGAACAGTCGATTACTTGGTACATAAATTATATCACTGGCCAGCTGAAGGAGCTGACATAGGATTAACCTAGTTTCAGATCCATCTAGGTGATGACACAAGAGCTCAGGCATCAAGATACCTTTGTGATTTCAATTACCTACTTTTTACATGCCTAAAAAAAAGTAAAGTTATCAGCATAGAACTAATAAAGCGGAGAGTTCTACAAAAGTGGCAAGTGAGTTATTGCAATTGCTTTAGGCAAAGTAACCTACTTCTGCATAGTCACAGATGGGGAAGGTTTACTCGTTGCCTAAATTTTATATGCACAGAAAGAAAAGCAAAACATGAAAGCAATCCTGCTTCCCCTCCAAACTCAGTTTTTCCTTCTCCTCACTGTCCCTCTCACCCCCCAGCAACTGAAAAACCAAATCAATTTCCCTTAAAGGAAAGGTATGGGATGGGACTATACTGTAAAGTGAAGGAGAAGGTAAGGTGAAGGAGAAGGTTATTAACTAAAATTTTATTGCAGCTTAGGGGAGAAGAGTAAGAGTCTGAAGGTGTAATGGATTTCAGAAAACCAAATTGTAGCTTTTTAAATTGTATTTTTATATTTGATTGATCAGGCAAATGTGTTACTTTAGAGATAAGGCAAAAGTTATCAAATTGAGAGATGGTTTCTGGCCACAACATCATCTCGTTAAAAAGGTGCAGCACCCAAGGCCTCTGCTTGTTTATTAAAAGCATCCATTTTATTTCCAGAAGAAAAATTAGAAATCATTGCTTAAAAAATGGTGTGACAGAACTGGAAAGACAGGGTTAGTTTACATCTGTGAAATGACAGGGATCCTGACTCTACTCCTTCCTAAATGTGATTGCTGGTCACACCAGAGTCCTACTAATTTCAGCATAACTCCTTTACTGCCTAGGAGGTACTAACTGGAGTATGTCAGCTGCACGGTTCACATGTGGGGGTTTAACTTCTGCAGATGAACCTGACCTAGCTGTGGGGTGGTAAAAAAAACCAACAGACCAGAGCCAGTGGAGGAGCCCCCAGCTTCCTGGGCCCGAGGTACCTCAGCAGCACACAGCACCTGAGCCAGGTGGTCAAAGCTCCTTTGGGTATGTCTGTCTGAAATGGGCCCAGGGTGCCCCAAAGCAGGATTGTCTGCAGTGGGGCCAACATCATCTCTCAACATCTGGCCTGATGTTGCAAGTGGCTTTCTGACCAATTTACAGCAGAGGTGGCACTCACTGTGCACACCTGCTTAGGAGAGCAAGTTTGCTGCACCCTGGTTACACCAGTTACTCTGTGCAGGACCCGTGTGTATGCGCTCCAGGAGGGCATTGCACATGCCAGGGATTGGAAGCATCAGAGCTGCTGCAGCTCTAGCATGGGAAAACCCAGAAAAACCCAGGTCAAGGCACACTAACCTGCATTGGGTGCATTTATTGGGCTTGGGTAAGGCTCCTCACCAAGGCAAAACTCCCACTGCAGTCTTATCTTGGTGGTCCCAAGTGATAAGAGGCAATGGGCAGAAACTGATGCACAGGAAGTTTCTGCATGAGGAAGAACTTTACTGTGCGAGTGACTGTGCACTGGAACAGGCTGCCCAGAGGGGCTGTGGAGTCTCCCTCACTGGAGATATTCAAGAACCATCTGGACACAATCCTGTGCAATGTGCTCTAGGATGACCCTGCTTGAGCGGGGAGGTTGGACAGGATGACCCTCTGTGGTCTCTTCCAATCTGACCCATTCTGTGATCCTGTGATTCCGTCTTTGCTTGAACTGACAGTGGGGACAGAGCCCTTACTCTGGGCAACAGCGGCTTCATAATTCTGCTGCTTTTTAGATCCCAGTATGGCAAAGGCAGAGGGGAGGATGAAGAAGCACCTAACTGTCTTCAGATGTGTTTCATCTCCCCCGCCATTCACAGAACCAGAAGACAGAATACTGTGAAAAGGGTATTTGAGGACTGAGTTGCCTTTGTTTACAGCAGCGTACTGCCTGCTTTTAATGTTTACAAAGCTTCTGGCTGTAAAAATGTACATGGCTGGGAGGTTTCTCTTGGTCTGTATTCACTGCCACAAAGGAGTTCCTCCAGGCTCCCTTGCCTTCCTCCTTGAGCTCCTCAGAGACCTCTGCTGCTGTCCCTGGCAGCAGACCAAGGGGAAACTGCTTCAGTTAAAGCTCCCCTTGTAGCTACAAAACACCATTGATCACCCATGTCTGTCAGTGCCAACAACTTTTTGAAGCTGTCACTCTTTTAACGTCTAGCTTTTTATTCAGGTTTCAGGTATGCAATGTAAAGAAAACCCCCAGAGAGTTATTTTATTCTTTATTTCATCCTGTTGAAAGGAAAACCTGTTGCAGCTGAGCACTCCTGAAAACATCAGTTCAGATCCATCTCAGGCCAAGCCTGGGAGGTCCTACTCCTGTCCTTCAGGTCTGTAGGCAAAGCAAAACAAAATATGTGAAAACACTCACGGAATAGTTAAATCCCTGGAAGAGAGAGCAGAAACTGCTGAGGAATGCAATGACAGCATCAAGGTTGTCAGTAGCTGTCAGAAAAAGTCAGTGGCACATCAGAATATGTTCCAGTGAACACTGGTAATCGATCTCTTCTGCCAGGATGGGGTGAAACACTATCTTTTGGTGCTGGAGCTGTGGACGAAGTGTTAATGGCTGAATTTTATAAACGCTCTTAACAGAATAATAATGCAACTCTTTTCTCCACTGAGATACTGGATATCTCCACTGGGTATTGTTGAAAGGGTAAAAATAAAGCAAAACAAACAGAATAAAAAAAAAGCCCAAAAGAAAACTACAGTAAATCCTGGCTCTGAAGGAGATATCCCTCCCTCACTTGGGAGTAGACAGAGGAGTCCATGATGTCCTACACTGCTCCTGCCTTTGGCTGAAGTTCTCTGCACACAGGCCAGTGAGCTGCCACTGGCAGGTGCAGAGCATTGGGCACACCAACCCTGAGACATCCAAACCAGGTTTAGAGGCCCTGGATCATCCTCAGCTGCACTGGTGAGAGGTCAGGGCAGTTCCCTTGAGTAAACCAGAGGTATTTTGGATTTATACCTACATGCTTTCTGGCAGGGCTGTTGCACTGAAAGATGCTAATCTTGCTTTAATCCCCACGGGATATTGACTTTAACAAAATACTCTATGCTTCATTTCTCAGCATTGCAAAACAACTTAATGGGCTGTATACTTCCAGTAATCTCTAGCTTACATTCTCACTCTTTCACAACACCAAAATGTCACTGGCTTTAGCCTTTTCAATACCATTTCCTCTGAGAGCATGCAAGGAAAAAAGAAGGCAAAAAATAAGCTTTTATTTAAATAACACCATCTGCACATTACCTTTGAGCACTCCTTCCACTTATGTTTTCTCTGAGCAGGCTGAAAACCCCACTTATTCCTTTATGATTGGCACTTGTTTGTTTAGTGTGAGCCTTATCCCCTTCTTGTTCAAGCATTTATCAAGCATGAAGGTTTGCTATGGGTGACGTCAGTGGAATTTTATCAGCAGAAAAGCACACAAAAATGTAAGTACAACTGACAGAAGAGGCAGCATCTGAAAGCAAAAATATGCATTTGCAGTTACTGAAATGAAAGAAATGAAACTTATACTTGTCTATTTGCAGCTCTATTCCTTTGAAGCATTACAAAACCCCATGAAAATCTAGATCTTAGAGACTGTATAATCACTTAGAGAGTTAATGTGCATAAACATACATAAAATGTTTGTTTGCTTTTTCCTGTGCGGTCTTTTTACTGTATTACTGTATAAATCAGACCTATTTTATTTTCACTTGCTAAGCCTTGTACTCCTTTTAAAGCACCTCAATGAATGAATACATATTTCCAAACCTTTACAGCCTTAATCCCCAAATTTATTATTGTATTTTCACAGAAAAAAAAAGGCCTTCCAGACATTTTTCTACGAAGCGTATTATTGGAGATAGGAGTGGGAGATTTAATGGCTTGAAATATGATTTCCAAGCTGGGAGGTGCATGACAAATCTGAGTGCAAAATATCATGTCAAAAACGAGTAGAGAGTCTTAGCAGGAAAATTGGGAGCTCACCAGCCCTGTACTGTTACGGTGGCAGCTGCGCTAACGACGGACACAGTTCTCTGAAGAGCATAAGTCTTTTCCCTCTTTCTGCTGCTGGCACCCAAGAGCATATGGCCATCATTGCGTGGACAAGACAGCTACAAGTTAGACCTGTGCAGAAACCAGGAGAAAAATCACCCTGATCACTCGAAGCGTATGGATCCAACGAGGCTTGAAAGCTGGGCTGAGGGGAGGGCTCCGCACACTCTGCTGGCAGCGAGTCGCTGTGTGTCTCAGAAAAAAAAGCATGATCCTGCAAAATACGGATGAAAAATGATGTCTCCCTCATGCCAAATGAGAGTAAAGGCTCATTTATAGAGGGCAGGACAAACCAGAAAGAGTGATATGAGAGGTGCTGCCTCAGGATTGAGTTCTGGATTTGGCAATCTCCCACGGAGCAAAACCACAGGTAAGTTAGGGAAAAGTTGCAGGGCAGAGAACAAATTTTTTCTTCTAATTGATTACAGTTCTATTTGATAGGAAAGCCCTGGCTGGCTCTGCTGGATGTCATACACCCAGAGAGCTGATTTCCAGGCACATTTTGTCTCTTGTCTGCAGCAATGCCATCGACCGGAGTCACATGTGGAACTGGTTCTGGATGTTCAGGATGTGAAGAAGTATCACCTCTCTCCACATAAGACCAACAGTCTGATGGGTTTTTCTTGCTGCTCTTACATCAGTCACAGCTTTCTCAGTTGGCCCATGTGTAATTTGCACTTTATTACCTACCTAAAAGCCCTGCAGGTGGATGTTCTGCCCTCAGAGACCACAGAGGTTACGAGCACGAGTGGTTCTGGGGAGGAGGGACCCCACAGTGTCCAAAAGGGATTAGCTCTACTTCCAAAAGGGGACTTCAGTGAGAAAATGTGTCACAAGCCCTCAGATCTTGCCAATGTCACAATGGCTCTGGGTGTAATATAGGTGTCTGTCTAATGGGCACTGGGCTAAGACCAATAAAATAGAATTCATACAGGCCACTGAACAGCTTCTGATGCTAATGGCTTTTGATTAACGCTGGCCCAAGTTGCATCTGTATTTTATTAACACTGTGTACAGAGTGAGTAGAATTCCAGATGGAGTACAAAGTACCTTTTTCTCTTGTTCTGCCCATAATTGCAAACGCTTAAATTGCACTTGTAGCTGTTTTATGACCTTAAACTCTGTACATTTGCTACAGTGGAACATTGCAATTTCTAGGGAGCGGAAAGATCACACAGAACTGGTCGATGATCTCTGTGATGCAAATAAAAATAGTACCATAAGTGTTCAAATAAATATTTCTTTCTATTTCATCTTTTCATTTTTATTGCTTCCTCAGGTCACTTGAAATGAAATTGTCCTTCACAGGTCAAGCTATGGCTGCTTTGCAGACAGCAAAAAAGACAGTGTTTTAGATCATTAGAGCCCTGGAGATGTTACAGCAATCCAAGTGATTTGCATTTCTGAGGAAAAGGCTTTTATTTCTGAACTGTTCACCTATTATAGATCTAAAAATGTACCTTTTTTTCTCATGAAAATGCCTGCCCTCAGAATTGAAAAAAAAAGACATATTGCTAGCCTTGACATGCCACCTCTCCACCAGCTCTCTGAGGAGGTGCCCATTGCACTTTGGGTGGAAGTGATGATGATGGAGGAAATGAGCACTTTGTGCAGTGGAGTTGCACTGGGACTCAGTGGATAATGTGGAGGGAAAGGAGGTGGGAGACTCGGCCCCAGCACAGGGACCAGACAGGCCTTCTGCTCTGTACCACACCTCCTTCACTTTTTATCAAGCTTTTTATCGAGCTTTTTGTCAACTGGCTGCTGGCAGGCAAAGCTGTGCAGTTTTGGGAGAGCCTGAATCTGAAATGGATGTTTTAATCAGGCTCCCTCACATCTCCATCAGATGGGAGACATGATTTCTCCACACAACTCCCTTCTCCTCCGTCCCCCTCGGCAGCGGGTGACACACACTGCCACATTGTGGCTATGATGGGGACAAGGCAGATGCTCAGGCTGCAAACAAGAACTGCAGATTCCAGATTTGTGGCATCTGTGGGGGTAAGCCATCACCGCCTTTTCTTGCATCCAGGTCATTTTTGCACCATGTTTTGCTTTCCTGACGGGTTCTCTTTGTCGAAGAGGGATCCTTGTCTCTGGGAACTGGGTAGCTGAGGCTGGGTGCTGCCTAGAGGAGGCTTTACTTTCCTGGGATATCTTTAGATGGCTCTTGCCCTCAGCCCTTGTGGTGGCTGCCATTGGTGCCACCAAGAGAGGCTGCGGTCATGTCAACTGTGGAGTTGAAGTCAGGTTCAGGAATGAGGGTTCACACATTCAGGAATGTATGAAAATATTATATGGCAAAAGTTAATGGAAAAGAGTGCCTCATTGCTCATGGAGAGATTATTACATTTTTAAGGCATTTATGAACAAATAAAATGCATCTGGGGAAAAAGCATAACCCACCACCTGCCATATTCCCCTCCCCATCTTCCAGCAATCCTCTTACTTATTAGCATTTCGACACTGCTTTTCTTTGAAGTACAAGCTGTATTTTACTAATATTATTTCCATTCATGCTGTGGAAATAAAACTTATGACAGTGTTGATTTCTCAGATCTCCTCAGAGTTTTTGAAATTTGCATTAGATTATTCTAATCACTTAGCCTCGTTGTATATATTTACACAAGAACTTTTGATGTTTAAACAGATCAGGCTGCAACGAGATGTGCAGGGGGAAATACATACCCCAAAGAAAAGGAAGCTCTTTTTTCTCAGACCACATCTTCAGCTAGAAGTTTTCAGATAAAACCATGGGTCAATGCCTTTGGGACCTGAGGAAATGACGGTAAGACTGGAAAGATGGGGGGATTGGCTCTGCTTTCAGAACAGCAGGCAGAGATGGAGTTGGGCTGGGTCTCTATGAGTGCAAGGAAGATGGTGAGGACTTGTCCCCTCGCACCCTTTATCGCTAATGTAACCTGTGCTCCTGCCCATCTGACAGAAGAAATTGTCCAGCCTGAACCCATCATGTCTTTACCTACGCACACAAGTTTCTGGGGACTGAGCAGAAGGAGCAGCTGCCAAATTCTGACTCTATTGAATTCAGTGGGAATAGTAAAATGTTCCTTTTTGGGGGCAGAAAAAAGCCTGACACTGTGGTGCAGTTGTGCTAGATCATGACATACAGGCAGGAGGCAGGTTGTCTGGGAAGCACTGCAGCCATATGCTCAAGTTAGTTAATTTGGTCTCAGGGCTGGCTCTGTTAGGTTCAGAATGAGAGGCAACAGAATAAACCTTTACACAGCAAAAGTGACCAGGAAAGTGTGGTGGCTAGAAGAAGGAGAAACAGATCTCCCGAGGACTGAAGAAGACAATCTCTCTGGAGGATGCAGGAAATTGCCAGCTATCTCACATGATGTTTAGCTTCACAAAGGCTAGGGATCATATTTTTATTTGCATGTTAGTATAGAAAGAATATTTGCAGTTTTTTGTGGCACTGTAAAGGAGGAGCATTTTGGATTACGATGTTGTTAACCTATTTTACAGTGAAATATGGAGCAAATCATCCATTATCCAACATATTACCCTAAAGATTGTAAAAGCCATGGCAAACTATGTCAACACAGTTTTGACTCTGTAACTTTCAAAGGTAAAGACCTTAAAACAAAACAAAACAAAACAAAAAAAGAGAAGCTTTTTCCAAGAATATGCACTTCCATAAACTCAGTTACAGATGAGAGCAGACTTTCCAACTCACACACTAAAGTGATCTATCCACTTAGACATGCAAATATCATGTTTTGAATAAGTCTCACATTTTGAGTTGTCACCAGTGAAAACAGCTTTCTCCAAAGGCATGTTGGATTTTTCAGCTCTCCTAAGCTTGTAAACCATGTAGAGTCAAGGAAAAAAATACAGAACAAAACCAAAATATTCTGCTTTACAAGGATTCAGAGATCTAAGGAGTTTTTAGGTAACATTTTCCTCTTTGGAACCTTTTTAGTAGCAAATATTTCTAGAAGCATAGCTCCCTCCCTGTCTAGGACTACTAGAACCAGGGCAGCCAGAGCCTTCCTGGGCTGGAAGAGGAGTGGGTTCATTGCCCGTGCTGGATGGGCAGTCACAGAACTCCTACTGCCCTCTGAGGATGTATCAGCAGGAACACCCCAGGGCTTTCATTCTGGCTGATTTATTTTGTCCTCATTGCTGACTGGCAAGTTATGTGCCTTGCTGCACTGGGAATGAGATGCTGTGACCCATGTGAGGCACAGTCAGGAGAGAGAGAAGCCATTTCTCACCTTTAAGGACATGAATTTGTGAAGTAATGAGAAACACTGTGAGATTCATAAATTTTGTCCCCCACAAAAGTGTGACAAGACATAGTTAGCACACACTATTTTGAATTACACCCCCTGCACTGCTTCAGCTCCATGTCTGTAGAGGGAGAAATGCATTTGGATGCCTATCCAACATTAGCAGAAACCTCCAGTGGTGGGCAGGTACATAATACATTAGGGGTAAAGCCTCTTGCTGTAGCTCTTCAAACCTAAATGGGATCTCACATCAGTTCTACCCTGAAATCTCATGGATGTCTGGCAGATTTCTTGTGGCAATAATCAACTCTCCACCTTGACCACCATGATGCAGGAGATGTTACAGCTTTTTTTTACAGTTAAAACCTACAAGTTGCTAAAATTGCTGTCATTGTTATACACTACTCAGACATAAAACATATATGTAATTATCCAACCTGAGGTCAATGGTTGTGAAAGAACTGTGAAACTCTGGTGCTAAGTTTCTTTTTGGTTTTGATACAGAGGTGATAAAAGAAGCATTTAACATTAGCAGTTGAAGCCTCACCCAGATGTGCTAAAGCAGAGAATCATTTCTGTGTTAAAGAACTGTGTTAATTCAGCTTTGAGTTCTAGTTCCATTTTGGAAGCGAATCTTTAAAACAATAAATATTGGTGACTAGGAATAGAAGATGTAATGAGTGGACCACTGCTTTGAAATTGCTGAAGTTCATTTTGCTCAAGTTGCATATTCCTAATGAGCACATAGATAATGTCTAGGCTAAGGAAGACTGAACAGAGTGATTTGCTTGAGAAGGTTCCAAAAGCATTTATACTTTTTCCTAGATTAACCTAAAATGATACAAAAAACTCTGTTTCTCTTAAAAAGAAACATCAAAAGTGCATATTTCACCATCACAGAATCACAGAATATGTTGAGTTGGAAGGGACCCACAAGGATCATTGAAGTCCAGCTCCTGGCTCTGCACAGGACCATCCCCAAGAGTCACACCATGTGCCTGAGAGCATTGTCCAAATGCTTCTTGAACTCTGTAAGGCTTGGAGCTGTGACCACTTCCCTGGGGAGCCTGTTCCAGTGCCCAACCACCCTCTGGGGGAAGAACCGTTTTCTAATATCCAACCTAAACCTCCCCTGACAAAACTTCAGCCCATTCCCTCAGGTCCTGTCCCTGGTCATCACAGAGCAGAGATCAGTGCCTGCCCCTCCTCTTCCCCTTTCCCCTCATGAGGAAGTTGTAGCTGCAGTGAGGTCTCCCCTCAGTCTGCTCTCCCCAAGACTGAACAGACCAAGTGCTCTCAGCAGCTCCTCACACGGCTTCCCCTCAAGGCCCTTCACCATCTTCGTTGCCCTCCATTGGACTCTCTCTATGAGCTTGATATCTTTCTTATATTGTGGTGCCCAAAACTGCCACAACATCCAAGGTGAGGCTGCCCCAGTGCAGAGCAGAGCAGGACAATCCCCTCCCTGACCGGCTGGTGATGTTTTACCTGATGCACCCTA